GAAGCTGTGGCTGCTCCTCCCTGGAAGTGTTCTCGGCCAGGCTGGATGAGGCTTTGAGCAACCTGGTCTAGTGGAAGGTGTCCCTGCTGCTGGCAGGGGCGTTGGAACTGGATGAGCTTTAAGGTCCCTTCCAACCCAAACCATTCTATGATTCTATGATCATGCTGATTCCTGTCCTCTCCTCGTCCCTCCTCCAGAATTACAACGGCGTCTCGGACGTGGAGCTGCGAGTAGCGTTACCAGATATAACAACAGTGACAGTCCGAGTGAAGAAGAACAGCACTACAGACCAGGTGTACCAGGTGAGCTACTTCTTTTTCTTGCCTTGACTGGAAAATTAACGTGATTCAGATGTTAACCAAGACCCAGTGGGTGCCCACGTGCTTCTCTCTGCTCCTCTCGAGTGCAGGTGGGCATCAGTGAGGCTGCTTTGCTGCAGCAGAGAGGATGGAGATGCTGGAGAACTCCAACCTCAGGCCGTGCTGAAGCAGCATTTTTGCTGGCAGGCTTGGCTGCAAGGACAGAGTCATCGCTGAATTAATTTTCCCTGATAATATCTCAGAGCTGGCGGGTGGCTCTGAGCACTAGACAGATTGTGTGTTACGGCTCGTGGTGGCTGCGGTGGAGGAGTGGGAGCCAAGAGCTGCCAGCAGCCAACACACAAGTCTCACTGTGGCTACGTGGCAGGACAGCCAGTTGAATATTCATAGAATCATAGGATCAATGGTTGGGGTTGGAAGGGACCTTAAAGCTCATCCAGTCCCAACCCCCCTGCCAGCAGCAGGGACACCTTCCACTAGACCAGGTTGCTCAAAGCCTCATCCAGCCTGGCCACAAACACTTCCAGGGAGGAGCAGCCACAGCTTCTCTGGGCAACCTGTTCCAGTGTCTGACCACCCTCACAGTGAAGAACTTCTTCCTAATATCTCATCTAAACCTCCCCTCTTTCAGCTTAAACCCATTTCCCCTTGTTTTGTCATTAACTGCCCTTATGAAAAGTCCTTCCCCAGCTTTCTTGTAGCCCCTTCAGGTACTGGGAGGTGTGAGTGGCTCTGCTGTGAGGAACTGAAGCTGGAGGAGTCAGAAGAACAGATGACCTGATTGTCAGCTATGGTGGCACTTAAAATCTAGAGCAGTTTACAGGAGAGTCTAAGCCCTTGCTTAAGAAAACATCTGGTTTCACTGGAAGGGTACAATTCAGGTTTTCCACGGTGACTAACCCCTCAGGCGAGGGAATACTTGGGAATAACCTGGATGAAGCCAACTTTGCCCCTGAGCAAACTCCTGGCTCCTGTTTTTGCTCACCCCATTTTCCCCATTTGGTTCCTTTTTAGGCTGTGGCTGCCAAAGTCGGCATGGACAGTATTACCGCAAACTACTTCGCCTTGTTTGAAGTGATCAATCACTCCTTTGGTAAGTCTTTTAATCTCCTGGGTGCTGAGGAACAAACTGAGAAAGCTCCAGGTGTCACTGGAGACAGGTGAGACAGGACAGAGCCAGGTGACACTCTCCTGTAGGTCTTATCTCTGCTCACAAAATCAGGAGCCCCCGGGAGGAATCGAGCAGGCGCGGTGGCTCCGAGTTTGATGGCTTTTTTTGCTGCCCCTTTGACTTTTCCCTTTCTTAAGCACTTCAAGGAGATGAGCTTTTTGTTAAACTGAGAGATGGATTTTACTTTACAAAGGGTCCAGCTAGAAAAAGTGGGCAGTGGGGAGCAGGGCACCCGCAGTGGCTCGGGGTGGAAATTTCCTTTTCCTTTGTTGGAAAGGGAAGAGGATGGAGGGCCCACGTGGGTTGATGTCTGTGCCCTGGAGGGGATGTGCTGCAAGCTGCACTCTAGCTTCTCATCTCTCCTTCCATGGTTAAATCCTGATGATCTTTGAGGTTTTGACTGTGGGATTCTGGGTGATCATTTTGGCACTTAATTAATTACCATCCTTCCAGCTTAACGCGTGCTTGGGGTCTCCTGGCTGCAGTTTAGATCCCCAGCCACAGGAATCTCTGATTTCACCCCAGCTTCAAGCTGTAGAGAAGCCAAAATGTCATGGTCACACCACAAAATGGGTGCAGTGGTTGGTTTGTGTTGTATTTCTTCCCTGTGCTGGGTTTTTAGCCAAGTGCATTCCTCATTCCCAGCTGGGTACTTTAATTTCTGGATTGTCATCTCCACGCGCTTCAAACTCATCCTGTCATTCCAGCAAACTCTGCCTTGTAGGAAGAGATTTCTAGGGCTGTTCCTTGTGCTCACAAGATTCTGGCTGAGCAGAAGGGGCAATTTTTAGCTTCTTAAAGTCCTCCTAAAATGATTCATCTCACAAAACAGGCTGGGTTTGTGTTCAGATACTGACCCCTGGGCCAGCCAAGATCATCAGTCTCCTGTAAAAGCGTTGCCATTGCAGAACTGCCTCTGCCACTGAGTTTGTGGTCACTTTTGGAGGGTTACCAGGTGCTGATGTGTCAGAGCAGGACGTGGGACACGGGGAGGGAAGATCAGGGCTGGAGAGACAATGTGTTTTGAGATTGCTGAGGCAGGGCTGTGCGTGGAGCCTCGAGTGGGAATACCGGCCCTGGGGAGATGGGACGCTGCCGTGGTCTCATGCAGGAAGCTTTTCCAGTGCCAGGCTAACAGGAGCTGTGAATTCCTGGTTCCTGTGAGTGCTCCACTTCTCAAACTGCACTGGGGAAGTAAAAACCCCGCTTCACCTTTATGGCTTGTGCTTTCTGGATGCTCACTGTGAACATCCACATTTATTCCTGTCTGGATACGCTCCATTGAATTTCTCTTGAAACATTAAGCTCCATCTGCAGTCAGATGGTGACCATATCCCTACCTGATGGAAACCTCCTGTCCCTCACCTTTTTTTATCCATCAGAGCTGGGTAAAGCAGATTTGAACACAATAAATGTCTCAACAGGGGCTCACTGCTGGCCCAGCTGCTCCAACCTGACTGAGCCATGCAGCAGGATTTGTCCCAGCTCTGGTGACAGCCTGCCAGGACTGAGGGGACCTTCTCCAGTCCCCCAACACTGTGGGGACAGTGCATAGATCCAGGATGCTGCCATCCCAAGGTTTAAGCAGGGTGAACATCCCTGTGTGTGGCAGGGATGCAGTCAGACCATCGTGCTGATGCCTGGGAGCCACGCTGAGCTGAGGGGAGTTCAGTCTCACGCAGATTCCTGTGGACTAGAGGTGATGGAAAGGGACCTGCGTGGTCTGACACTGTGAAATGGGTGTGGAAAAAGGCTGGATTCAGTCACAAAAGAGAAGAAAGGACCTTGGAGCAGAGCTGGGTCCTGATCCTGGCTGGCTCAGCTAACGGGCCTTGTCAGTGTTGATTTGTAGGGCAGCCAGGCTGCGGTCACGGTGTGGGGCTGTGCACTTACCTCCTCGTCCTC